CCCGGAATTGTGGGGGAAGGGCCTCACCCGCGATGACGGCGGTGTCGGCGTCCTCAGTGCCGCGGGGGGTGAGAGCCTTCCTCAGGTCCGGGGTCGTCAGGTCTTCCTCGGGAAAGGGGGAGGGGAAGGTCAGGGAGGGCCCCGAGCGGGGCCGGAGCCCGGGGTGACCCCGGGGGATGGGGATGGAAAAGGGATTCCAGGGATTCCAGGGATTCCAGGGATTCCAGGGATTCCAGGGGCTCACCTGTGCTCAGGTGGGAAGGGGCTCCCTCCATTCCTTCCGGGGGAGGGGCTGGGATCCGTCAGAGCTGCCAAAAATAGGGATAAAAGGGCTGAATTCCCGCTCAATTCTCCATCAGCTGCGCTCAGGGGGAAACGAGCTCCGTCCTTGCAGTGGCCGGGATCCCTCAGGGCTGCCAAAAATAGGGATAAAAGGGGTGAATTCCCGCTCAGTTCTCCTTCACCTGCGCTCAGGGGGGAACGAGCCCCGTCCTTAGATCGGCTCTTTGCAGGGGAGGGGCTGGGATCCGTCAGAGCTGCCAAAAATAGGGATAAATCCCCACGGAACAGCCCGAAACGCCTCGAAATTGCCCCAAATCTGGGCTGGGGAAAAACCAGCCCCCAAATGATTTTGCTCCCAAACTTTGAGAGCTTCAAATTGCCCGAAACGCCTCGAAATTGCCCCAGATCTGGGGCGGAGAAAAACGAGCCCCTGAGTGGCTTCACTCCCGAACTTTGAGAGCTTCAAATCACCCAGAAAGCCTCGAAATTCCCCCAAATCCGGGGCAGGGAAAAACCAACCCCAAATGATTTTGCTCCCAAACTTTGAGAGCTTCAAATTGCCCGAAACTGCCTCAAATCCGCGGCAGGGAAGGAGCAGCCCCCGAATGGTTTTGCTCCCGAACTTTGAGAGCTTCAAATCGCCCGAAACGCCTCGAAATTGCCCCAAATCCGGGCCCGAGGCGGCCGGAAGGTTGAGCTGCCGGACCCACCTCGGCTCTGCCCGACGGGGACCCCCCCGGGACCCCCCCAAAAATCGGTTCCCGCGGTGGCTCCGGCGCCGCTCGAGGGCTCCGGGGCTCGGTGACTCAGCGGAGCCGGGAGCGGATCAGATTTAATCGTTTATTTATTTTTAAAGAACAAAAGAGGAAATGGAGCGGCGGGAGCTCGGCCCGGGGCCAGGAGCGGGAGGGGGGGGGTGGCCACA